GCTGGTCCCTATTTTTTTTTTTTTTTAAGATTTTTTTGCCATAAGGTGTATGTGGGTTCCAGCTCCCTGTGGAATTAATGACCACTGATGACCAGTCCCTCCATAATCTCAAAATCCCAGGAAGAGAATGGAGAAGAAGGGACTGTGGTGTGGCCATCCCCCCTTGGGGTGTGATTTCTCACTTTTTCTCTCTTCGTCTCTCACTCTGTCTCTCACTGGCGAGCATATGTGTCCTATGGCAAAAACCTTAAAAACAATAAAAAACAAAAAACAGGGGCTGGCAGATGGCTTGGTGGTTAAGGGCGCTGGACTCCCACATGGCCGACTGCAGTTTGAGTCTCGGACCTGGCGGCTTCCTTCTCACTTTTCCTCTCTCTTTTGCTCTCTCTCTCTCTCTCTGTCTGTCCCTCTCTGCTCATATCAAAATAAATAAAGTTAAATAAAGTAATTCTTTAAAAAACCACACAAACAAATAAAAAAAAAACAAAGCAAAAACAGGCGAAACCCAATGTGCAGCTGAAAAAATGAGAGTCTTTGACTAATGCAGTGAGAGGATCCAGTCATGCCCCCGGTCCTCTACCGCCTCAAGTTGCTGTAGGGAATGGAAAAGATCTTCCTCTATAGCCCTGTTAGGTTCAGGGCTCAGGCCCCTAAACAAAAGATAGATTAACAAGGCAAAAACATCCGAATTGATTTAGTATAAGTTTTATGTGACATGAAAGCCCTTGTATGGAAATGAAGAAACCAAAGAAACAGGTAAACACTAAATTAAAAAAAAAATAATTATTTATTTCATTTTATTTATTCATTCATTTAAATTTGATGAGAGAGAGAGAGAGAGAGAGAGAAAGAGCAAGAAAACAAGCTGCCAGGTCCGGGACTTGAACTGCGGTCAGCCATGTGGGAGTGTCCAGCGCCTTAACCACCACACCACCTGCTGGTCCCCAACAGTAGTGCTTTTCTAGCAGATCTGATGAAGTGGGAAAGTCATGGCGAAATGGGATGGGGCAGATATGATCCTGGTAATGAACTGAGGGAAACTGCTCTACGTCCCCGTATCTTCAGAGATAAGGATGCGCCTTTTCTTTGAGTGTAGAGAGGGCACCTTTCTCCTGAGGGTTTTATAACCTAATTCAGGGGAAGGTCAGAAAATCCTTCCTAGGCTTTGACTTACTTATGGGGAGAAAGATGAGGGATGTTCAAAAAGACCTCCTTGCACATGCTGCCTATCAAATTCCTTCAACTCTAACTATCCAATATGCCAAAGTACTGTATTTTGGGGTAATTGTCCTAAAACCCCTCACTGCCAAAGGAAACAATTGCCAGCAGAAGGGTGGAAGATGAAAAAAGGGAGTGTCCAGGTAATATGCTATGTTATTACACTCGAGAACAACCTGCCATCAGTAGAAATAGAACTAGGTAATACTCAGCCTCAGATGGACTGAGTTGTAGGCTCTGGTATGACAGGCGTAGACTCACAGAAAATAAACTGGTTCCTCAACTCCGGCTTTCATTTTAATTCAGTTTGTTAATGCCACACCTACAGTAGAAAGCAAACCATAGGGAAGGGAGGCAGGAGAGCGGTCTGCTTTCAAGGCTTTTGTTGAGGTTTAGAAATGGTCAGTGGTTTTCAGAAGACGAGAAATCTCAATGTAAATTAAGATGCTTTTTAAATTCCCTAGGACTGGCCTCTGCAATGCAGTGGTGAAGCATTATGTGTAGGAAGCCAAATCCCAAATGACTGTGGTTCAAATCCCGACCTTGGAGGGTTGAAAATCATGCTAGATGCATGTGCATGTCTGCCCCGAATCCTGATGAGATAGAGGAGTGGAGGAAAAAGGATCGCAATGTGACCAGGCCATATGGGAGGTGTTCTCTCTGGTGTGCACATGTGCCCTCTAGCAAAAGCAAAAGACAATAAATAAGTAACTTCCAATTTACAATGAAAGCAATCATTTCTCTGATCAAAGGAGGAGTCCATGGTGTGTGGCCAGACTAGCCACTCTTGTAGTGACTAGAAAGTGACGATAGAATGTTCCTTCGTATTTTCTCTGAATGGAGTTGATTATGGAACATGTCTGGGATTGAACATTGATTAATTGTCCAGGGTTTTGTTTTTATACCTTGGTAAATTAGTTTTTCTTCTGATTCAGTGATAGATACAGTGATGCCAGTGATGACAGCTTCTCAGAGCCAAGAATGGCTGAGCTGGAAATCAACTGAAATGAACACGACTTGTAATAATGGGGACCGCCTGGGACGGTAAGAAGGAATCTTCAGGTGTTGTTTTTGTCTTACAGACAAGCATCGTCTTGCAGGAGGAGGGAGCATTACAAGATTTGTCTTGCAAGATCCTGCTTCCTGGGGATACTCTAATTTGTGTTTTTCGTTTGCTTGTTTTCTGAGAAAGCATGCACTCACCAGAGAGAGGGAGAGAGAGCACCCCCAACGCAGCAGGCTTACACCACAATCTCTTCTCCATCTCCTCCTCCTATGGGGATTTGGGCATTGCATGCCACCAAGGCCAGAACTGGAACTGTGTGGTGCCATGTGGGATCCTGCTCCCTCAGCCACTAGGCTGCCCTGGCCCAAGGATGCTCCAATTTGACTGGCATAGTTAGCAGCCCCTGGTGGTCTCAAGATTAGGATTGGGGAAATAGAAGGCATCTGAGGCCAGGAGTCCATCTCTAAGAAGATCTATACACGTACACCTGGAGGCTGTAGTGCTTAGAGTTGTAAGAGTCCAGGTCAGAAGTTGGTAAACTCTTCCTGTTAAGCAAATAGGGAATATTTTAGGCTTGTGGCCATGCAGTCTCTGTCATACTTCTCAGCTCTGCCAGTGTAGCAGGAAAGCAGTCATAGACAACACCAACCTAAGTGGGCATGACTGTGTGCCCACACAGCTATATTTGCAAAAAGAGTTTGCTGACCTTGGTCTAGGTTCCCCATAGAAAAGCAGATTTCCTTGGGTTTGTGTAAAATAAAATATGAGGGGCCTTCAAGAAATTTGTTGAGAATGGAAGTTAAAGAACCAGCCTATGGTGTGGAGGTTAAAGCACCTGGATTTTTTTTTTTTTTTTTGGAGAGGTTTTTTCGCTATAGGGCGCGTGCACTCACCAGACAGACAGAGAGAGACATAGAGACAGAAAGCGAGAAATCACCTCCCAGGGGGGAAGGCCACGCCGCAATTCCTTCTCCTCCATTCTCCTCTCGGGATCTTGGGCACGCACGCACATGCGCCCGGCATGAGTTTTAAGCCACTGGGTTCGGGATGCGAACCGCAGTCGACTACGTGGGAGTCCAGCGACATAGCCATTATGCTAACAAAGCCCCTGGATTTGTCATGCTCAACAGTGTGGTTCAAACACTGGACTGAGGGCTTGAGAAACATGCCAGATGCATATGTGTGCATGCCCAAAGTCCTGAGAGGTGGGAGAAATGAAGGAGAAGCCATTGCATTGTGACCATGCCCCATGGGGGGTGTTTTCCCATTCCTCCTCCCCCATCTTTCTCTGGCAAGTGTGCATGCCCTCTGACAAACCTAAAAAAGGAAAAGGAGGGGTCAGCAGGTAGGGTAGTGGTTAAGGTGCTGGATCCCCACATGGCTAATTGTGGTTCCAGTCCTGGACCTGGGAGCTTGAAAATCATGCCAGGCACATGTATATGCATCCCCAAAATCCTGGGGGAAGAACAGAGGAGAAGGGATCGGGGCGTGGCCGTCTCCTCTGGGGGCTGATTTCTCACTTTCCCTCTAGCTTTCCCTGTCTCTCTTCAGCGAGTGCATGTGCCCTATGACAAAAATAAAACACAAACAAACAAAAACCCCCCAAAAAGCAAAATAGAAGTAAAGTACAAGTTTATTTTGGTACCCAAAAGTTTTGAAATCCATGCATAGTGTTTTTATAATGGACATTTTTCCATGAGTGTTTGGAAGACCCCTTGTAGTATTTATTTCTTCATAGGGAGATAACAGGAGGCTCCGTGGGCAGCTTGTTTTCCCCGCAGCTCTATTCTGCATTATTAGAGAGGAGAGCAGCCTGGGTAATTTTACCTAATTTATGCTCAGGGCCAGATATTGCCTGGGATTACCCCAGTGGCTATGTCAGTCCTTGGACTGGACACACTGCTCTTTAGTGAGGACTGCGGTTTTGGAAACCTTGTACAGAGTTCATTGCTTTCTTTGTATTTCATGCAGGGGCAGAATATTCCTGTTCATTTGGGGAAAGCCAAGCAGGTTTGCCTGTGTGCAGAGACCTTTGGTGCAAAGCCAAACTGGCTGGAGTTTTTTTTTTTTTTTTTTAAGAAAGATTTTTGCAGAACCAGCAGATGGCGTAATGGCTATGTTGCTGGATTCCCATGTAGTAGACCGCGGTTCACATCCCAGACTCGGTGGCTTAAACTTTTTTTTTTTTTTTTTTTAACAGAAATTATCTTCTTCTTTTTAAAAAATTATTATTTACTTAATTTTATTTATTCATTCATTTATTTTAATTTGACCAGAGAGAAACAGAGAGAGAGAGAGAGAGAGAGGGAGAGGGAGAAAGGAAACTGCCAGGTCCGGGACTCGAATCATGTGGGAGTATCCAGCACCTTAACCACCATGCCACCCGCTGGCCCCTGTCTCTCTGTCTCTGTCTTTCTGGTGAGTGCACGCAAAAAAAATCCTCTCAAAAAAAAAAAAAAAAAGAAAGAAAGAAAGTTTTTTTTCTACTGGGACTTGAACCATGGTTGACTACGTGGGAGTCCAGCGATGTAATCATTACACGATTTGCTGATTTCATAGCTGGAGGTATTTTAGACTTGTTCAGTTTTTGATGTGGCTAATACTTGTATTCTTTTTTTAAGCATCTGATGTAATCGAAGTTAAGATAAAGGAACTATCTGAAGAAATCATCACTCTCTTATAGAATCTCTCTGTTCTCCAAAGCTTCAAAGGGAATCACAATCACATAACGGAACTTCCATGAACCAGAACTGAAGGAGTGGTTTTCTTCTCTCTCCAGAGACGTCCTTTGGTACTCACCAGTTTCTGTAGCTGATTAAACTGTTCCCAATAACCGTGCTGGGGAGAGAGTGTGTTTGTGTTTCATTCAGCGTATCATGTCAAGATGACGAGGAGCCAGGTCTGGGTACCCGAACCTTTGCCATGTTGTCTGGGAGGGCAGCAGGGCATGTGTCAGTTTTTGAGTCAAAAATGAGCCTTTCTGTATCCTAGAACTCAACCACAGATGAGTGTGTGATGAGCCAAGATGACTTCTGTTTCTCACCCTGTTTATTTCCAATTAAAAGTAAAAAGTATCAGGTATAAAACGTGGGGGGTGGGGGTAGCAAGTAAGGCCTTCACCTCAGGCACAAAATTCAAGGAAGCACCAAAAAACTCAGGAATCAAGATCAGCAATATATATTTTTTTAAACTGAGGTAAAATTTCTGTGACCTAGATTTAGTCATTTTAAAGTGAACAGTTCAGTGGCATTCACTGATGTACAACCACCACCTTTATCTCCTTCTGAAACGTGCTCATCCCTCCACACTGAATCACCCGACCCGTTAGCAGTTGCCCTTCCACGTTCCCCTCCTCTCATCCCTTGGCAACCACCAGTCTTCTTTCTATTTATCCATTTTCCTATTCTGGATATTTCATGTAAGTGGAATCATACAATATATGGCCTTTTGTGTCTGGCTTCTTTCATTTAATGTAATGTTTTCAAGTTTCATCTATGTTGTAGCATGTATAAGAACTTTTTTATGACTGAATAAAATTCCATTGTATATATTGATATTTATATATCTCTACCCCATTTATTTATCTCTTCATCTGTTGATGGACATTGGGTGGTTTCCAGCTTTCAGCTGGTGGGATTCGTGCTGGTGAGAATGTTCAAGTGCAAACATTTGTTGGAGTACCTGACTGTAATTCTTTGGGATTGCTGTATCATATGGTAATTCTGTTGAACTTTTGTTTCTAATTGCCAGAGGGTGCGTGTACTCACCTGAGAGAGAGACAGAGAGAGAGCACTCCCCAACAAGGTGTAGTCATGTTGCAGTACTTTTTCTGTCCCATCAGGATTTGGGCATACACAGAAACTGGCATGTTTTCTTTTTAAGGTGGGGTTGGGATTCCCTATTCTTTTTTTGTTTTTGAAAGGTTTTTGCTATAGGGTGCATGCACTTGCCAGAAAGACAGAGAGAGACAGAGAGATAGAAAGTGAGAAATCACCTCCAGGGGGGATGGACATGCCACAATCCCTTCTCCTCCATTCTCCTCTCGGGATCTTGGGCACGCATGCACATGCGCCTGATCCGGGACTCAAACCACGGTTGACCAGTCCAGCAACATAGCCATTATGCCAACTGCTGGTTCCAAACTGGCATGTTTTCAAGTCATTAGGTCTAGGACTTGAACCTTGGTCAACCACATGGGATCCAGTTTCCTATGCACCGTGCTTAATTACTTTGCTATGAAGCTGGCCCTAACTTTAGAGGAAGGATCGATCAGTAATGTTTTAATACAGTTTTTTGAAAGAATTATTTTATTTAACTTTATTTATTTAACCAGAGAGGGACAGAGAGAGAGAGAGAGAGAGAGAAAATGAGAAGGCAAGTTGCCAGGTTCTGGAACTAGAGAGAGAGAGAGAGGGAGGGAAAGTGAGAAAGCAAGCCACCAGGTCTGGGACTCAAACCACAGTTGGCCATGTGAGAGTCAAGCGTCCTTAACCACCATGCCACATGCTGTCCCAATACAATATATTTTAAAAATTAAAATTAACGAAAAAATGAAAAGTATCAAAATTTAAAATACAGGCAGGATGCAGCCCTACCACTCCCTCAGTGCCCCATTCCTGGTCCTGTTGCACATTCTCATCTAGAATATACTTTCTAATCTCCCCTCTTGAATATGCTTAAGATGGCTTAGTTGTTGCTTATGTTTAAGCTTGTGGATACTAATTTTAATGTTTCCACTGATCAGTTAATTTGTGTGTGTGTGTGTGTGTGTGTGTGTGTGTTCCTTTTAACTTTTTCTTTAAAAAAAAAATGCTAGGAACTAGTAGTTGGTGTAATGTCTATGTCGTTGGACTCCCATATAGTTGACCACAGTTCGAGTCCCAGATCTGGTGGCTTAAACTCACGCCAGGTGCGTGTGCGTGCGTGCCCAAGATCCCAAAAGGAGAATGGAGGAGAAGGGATTGCAGTGTGGCCATCCCCCTGGGGGGTGATTTCTCGTTTTCTGTCTCTGTTTTCTCTCTGTCTTTCTGGCTAGCGCACACACCCTATAGCAAAACCTCTCCAAAAAATGCTAAAAGGGGGCCAGCAGGTGGTGTGGTGATTAAGACGCTGGACTCCACATGTCCGACTCCATGGATCAAATCCTGGACCCGTTGGCTTGAAAAACATGCTGCGTGTGTGTATGTGTGTGCCCAAAATCCTGAGAGGAGGAATGGAGAAGGGATTGCAATGTGGGAACTTCCCTTTCTCTCGTGAGTGTGCATACCCTATGGCAAAAATCTAAAAAAAAAAGCTATAAGATTGGGCTGGGCCCGTAGCCTACTGATTAAGGCTCCTGCATGTGCAACCACGGTTCAAGTCCCAGCTCTGGCAGCTTGAAAGATAACACAGAGTCCAGAGAATGAGTATGAGTACCTTAAAATTCCAACAGGACAGAGAAATGGAGGAAAAGGATTGCAGACTGACCACACTCCATTGGGGGGGTACTTTCTCTCTCTGGTTTTGTCTTTTTTGGTGTGCACATGCACCCTTTGGCAATAAAAAAATTTTTTAAATGCTATAACGCATTATAGCATTATTTTGTTAGATGCTACAAAAAAGTCATGTACTGAACACATGCAGAAATGAAATGAATAATTTTGGTAAACAAAGATATTAAAAAGCTTTAGAGCTCCACTTGTGAAAATTACAGCTTGAAGTTCACAAGAGTCTCCACATGAAAAGCCCACAAGGTAGGTTAAAAGCTGGAATAGGCCTCACAGAGAGAAGGTTGGATGCACAGAGGGGAAACTCGAACAGCACAAAGGGGTAGTCTGGCTTAAATGGAAGTTTCCAATTTTAATGATTATGATTTCTAAAGTCACTTATAACTGAGAGCTTTCACTGCAGGGTAATGATGCATGTAAACAGGACCAGAAGGAAGGGCACTTAAGAAGCAATAAACCAGCCTCTCTCTCTCTTGCTGCTATACGAGCTTTTTCTGTTTTAAAGGCTTTCCCCTTGAACTGGGAGTCTAGCGAAACACAGAATGGTCGGTTGCAGCTTGGCAGCTCAGAATACTGGAGCAAAGAGGAGCATGAGCAGAGAAAGTCACCGTAAAGCATTCAGCAGATGCTTCTTCTTCTTTTTTTTTTTTCCTAGAGAGAGATTCTTACTATAGGGTGCGTGCACTCGCCAGAGAGACAGAGAGACAGAGAGACAGAAATCACTTCCCAGGGAAGATGGCCACGCCACAATCCCTTCTCCTCCATTCTCTTCTCAGGATCTTGGGTGCGCACACACACCTGGCGTGAATTTTAAGTCACCAGGTCCGGGACTGGAACCATGGACAACTATGTGGGAGTTTAGCACCATAACCATTATGCCATCTACTGGTCTCTCAGCAGATGCTTCTTGATTCCCCAACATGAGCCAGGCATGGCGTCAGGTGCTGGAGGTACAGTGGGAAGCACCTGATTGACTCCTGGGAGAAGGTAGGCTTTGAACACAGCTATAGGGAAACAAGTCATTACAGGGTCTATGAGAGTGTTCAAGGACAAAGGTGGTCGTGAGAGAGTGTAAAATGGGATCTCATGACAGACCAGAGAGTCACGGAAGGCTCCTTGGGCAAAGCAGATAAATGGTTTACCCAGATTTGTGCTTCTGGCCACATGGTGCAAAGGTAGTGGGCCCAGCACGTGCCCCAGTGAGGCTGTGCTTCCCTTGACTGACGGGACATTGGGTGGGCAGTGACACTGTCTCGGTGGTGCACCATCTACTTGGTGTCTGCCTGCTCTTTCATTACATTGAAGTTTGAACTGGTTCAAAAATGAGGGGACTCCCTTCTCTGTTTTTTCTATAAGCTTTGCCTCCCTCCCTTTTACATGATAGTACACATATGCATGCGTGACAGACACGCACAGAGATGAGCACCCTCCACAGTGTTGGTCATGCTCTGATCACTTTCCCACAGTCCTCCAGCTCATTGGATCCTGGCTATTCGGTGTGCGTGCCCAGCATGTTTCAGGCTGACAAGGCAGGGAGTCAAACTGGTCGCCATGTGGGATCTGGTTTCTCTTGAGTAGCTCCTAACCGCTGTTCTACAGAGCTGGCCCTCTAGCTTCAATCTTAACTGTTAATTTCCCTACTGTTTAGTTCTTACTTGCACATTTTCGTAGGGAAACAAAAAGCAGCTATGTAGATACGCATCTGTCCTCAAGGTCAATCGATGCGAGACATTTGCACCTCACCACCACTCCACCTAGAGCTGAGGTTCTGCCAGCTGCAGATGCTGTACGAAGCTAGGTGAGGAACATGTAGGGGAGGACAAGGAGGAAAAATATTTTTCTCTCTACCCATCTGAAGTTCTTGGCTGAAGCCCTTGTAACAAAAGGCACATTAGCAAAAGAAAAGTGTACAAATTAATTTATTGTGGGACCAATAGATAGTGTAATGGCTACGTCACTGGACTCCCATGTAGTTGACTATGGTTTGAATCCCAGACCCTGTGGCTTAAACTCACGCTGGTCAAATTAAAAAATTTATTGTTAAGTTTTGTGTGTGTGTGAGATGAGAGCATTCAGAAGGAAATGAAGGCCCCCTGACCCCCCCCCCCCCCAAAAAAAAAGTAGTTAAAGCTTAACACTTTAAATAATAGGTTTGATGAATGAGAGTAGGCTCCATACATTGAGCTCTCTTCTCCCTCCCTCTCTGCCCTGTTTCCCTGAGACCTAGCTGCTGGTCAGGCTGAACCTCCTGAACATCTTGTGACCGTGACCTTCACTTCACGGAACTGGCCTAGGGCTGGGGCCATTCTAGAGGTATGCACACCCCCTCCACATTAACATCACCAGTTAGG